GTGGTACATTCGGGATCTGTTTACAATGCCTCATATCCTTGAACGATGACGGAATAGCGGGGAAAGGTTCATTCAGTCAATTGACCTGGTGACCAAGCTATTTCCCGTTTACGTCGAAGAATATTTTGCTTGCGAATGGTGCAAGCTCAATTTCTTGCGCTGTACTCTATTCCGGATTTCGCTGTTTTCATTTTGTCGTGATACAAGTTTTTTTCTGGCGTCCGATTGCTCGTGTCGGTGAGCTTTTACCGTGTCTGACAGCACTGTTAAATCAACTTTAAATCATGCAAATAGCGATACAGATATTCGAACTCTGTTGGCTTACATGAATAATCTGCTTGAAGTGACACAAAACCACAGTCATTTAATCAGTATTTGATTTCAACGTACCGAGTTCCCATCCGCAATCGAATTTGAATTTTCGCTTGTTAGTACCACCACTTGCAAGAGTGATGTTGTTTCTTATGTCTCAGTGACTTTTCGAGTGGCTGGGCGGTAGCTGTTGGAATAATTTCTTTTTTTTGCTTGTTTTCTTCTACCATATTCCACCTCCTCCTTGTACGCAACACTCGACCGGACGAATTCATTAACTTGGTTGCCGTAGCAATCTCGATTGATGTTGAACGCATCTGGTTCCCGATTATTGAAGTTGAGTAATTTCCACTCATTATTTGCTTCTCGACTCGTGATAACATAAATCCAAATTGAATATTTCGATTCCAAGTGTGGGATTTTGATGCACAATCTCCTTCTCTCTATTCCCGCTTTTCAGAACAGACACACACACAGATGACCATGGATTCTTTGCTGAGTGATCTGTCTGAGCACGAATGCAGCACGACTCCGTTGGTCTCGTCCTCGCTAATGTCTGTCACTCCAGGACGAGAACATTCTGTGGATGAGGAGAAGCTATCCCGAGTTCTAATAGAACGTGTGCTACCCCCGTTCTCCAAATCGCTCAAGTTGCAAGCACTTGTGGTATATCAAGCGGATCGGGAAAAGATGAATTGTCTCCTGGTCAATCGCAATTACGAGAAAATTAGTCCACAATTACGTTCCGATTCGACCAGCCTAGAAATGACTTCAGCTCAATCTAACGGTCTGGATGAGGTGTCTGATGTTTCCGATTCCGGTTACATGGACTCCATCAAAATGGTTCGCACCCCACAAACTCCATCCCCCAAACTCACAGTCAGTGAACTAATGGAATCGGGTGAGTCCACGGAGTCTGTGGACGTAAACCATAGCACATCTCGTCGCAAACGCAAACTGTGTCGTCCATGCAAAATCCCCCAAAATGGGTCACTGATTTCTGAGACCTCGGGGTCTGTGACTGTGGATGAGATTAAGATACCGAGGCTGGATACTACCACGACAACAGTAACGTCTACACTCATTTCAACAAATTCAATCATCTCAACGTCCACTGTAAAAAGCGCCACTAACATCACCTCATCCAGTGAGCTGTTGCCGTTCACAACAAAAAGCATTTCCGATAGCGTTATCCTCCCCGTTACCGCAGTCACCCTGCTTCCCCGAGTTAGTGTGTTTTCTCTACCAGTTACTGTCCTCTCCACTTTGCCACGTCCAATTTTACCGCGAATCAGCCATGACAAACCGCCTATCACTGTGACAACTATTCCGGCCACCTCAATGCTACCGACTTCGGCCACACTGAGTCAACCCATACCATTGAGCCGAGCTAGCGAATCGGCTACGTTGACGCTCAGAACATCGGAATGTGTGAACAATTCGGCCACGGTCACTGGCACAATCAACGCGTCTGATCTGTCCAATCGTCGCTTCGGAAAATCGTTCTTGTGCAACCAGTGTCGTCGAGACTTTGCTTCCCTTAGTCTGTTGTGCGCGCACACATTTGCCGTGCATCGATGTTTTCGTTGCACGATTTGTGACGCCCAATTCACCCAACGTTCCAATCTTCAACGACACAGTCTTCGCCACGTTGGATTCAAACCGTTCATCTGCAAAGTATGTGACAAGGCGTATTATCGTAAAGACCACTTGGTTCGTCATATTGAACTTTCTCACCCGGGTCGTGATCCTCGGCTGAGTTTAACGGTCAAATTGAGTTCGGCAGAGTGCTTGGACTACTTGGAGCGATTGCAATCGGAAGGAAATGAACAGGTAGAACAGGTTCAAATGTTGTGCCAAACCCCGGATGAGACGGGACCCAAGAAAGCTCAATCGCCATCCATGAACGGTGGTGAGTCTGTTGAAGTGACTGAAGTAGTCGCTCAAACTTCACCAGAACATGCAAACAAAGGGGATGCACGGTGAGTGTTTTCTGACCTGTCCTGTCTACCGGTGTATTCTGGTTTATCCTCTCGGACCGATTTGATCGAATCCGTTTGTTAATATCGCCACTACCATTCGCATCTTCATTCTGACTTTTTTTATACTAATTCGTCTTTTTGTACTTTTCGCCTTTGTATATATATACACACCCATCCACCCACCCGTTTATTACACATGATCAGACAATGTTTTCATTATCCAGACGACCACTGGCACGCATTCCATGTTACTCAACGCTCTTCCAACTATCGTGGCTGTGCCTTCATTCTTCACTGTCGTTTTTTGTTTTCGATTTTGGATTAGCACATAAAAGTTGTCTGTAGGACAGACTACCATAGTTTCTTGATTGAATACAGTTTCTTTTCTATCTGAATTCCGGTCAGGGGTCAGTTCAATCGCTCTTGTGGATAATACGTTCGATGCTTTTGCCAAGATATGTTGGGAATTTCATACAATCACACGGAAGAAAAAACAGATTGGCTCCCCAGATTTTTTCTGTGTATGTGTGTTGGGGGTAGTTGGAACTGTTTAAAGTCAAATCGATAATGCACCCAAAATAGGAACTTACCACTCAGTCACCGCAGAAACAAAATGCGGTGTATGTTTGTGTGCGCACTCTGTTGTTTCTCATATCATGCATGTTGAATTGTGACTTGGCTTATCACAATGCCGATTGATTTCGACCCCGTCACTCTGGCCTGATTCCCGTTCCACTTAAGCTGGTCACCGCCGCTACAAGATCTGATTAACACAGGTATTCGTATTCTTGACGAAATTACACTGTGGAAACTGACGCGCATGGTAATGCCCATTGTTCCGTACGTGTTCGATCTGCTTGGACTATTCTTTTCCGGGTAGATTGAAGTACTGCATTCCTACCGCATTCTCCAGAACCCTCAGCAGCATTGGGTTTGTATTAGAATGAACTTATGACGGAGTATATTTGACAAAACAGCGAAGAAGGATGATAGGCTATTGTGTGTGAGATTATTTTTTGTGCTGGTCAGCCGAATATGGATTCCACAAGTCGATTGGGGAAACTTGATGCGTTTGTGGTTGTGCGATGTTCTTGGTCGAAGGTACCAAAAATTAATGTCAGTTTTCGCCGAACCCAACAAATAACCATCGTGAAACGAAATACTGGTTTCCGGTGTGAATAAATAACCATTGCTGATTCATAAATAATTCAGTGCTCATTCATTTCTTATGGCAGGTGACAAAAATGTGCCAAAATAGGTGGGGCTAGTTGTTTGCTTAACTCTAATGGGTTTCTAAACAATGCCTCAAGTTTGACTGCTTGTGAATCGCTGCATTGTTCACGCTGTCTGTCTTTTATCTGTTTGATAGATCGATATTGACTCCAACAACTCCATATAGGCGATACCACTATTTTACCATTTCCAAAACACGTTCAGGTAGGTTTTCAGACCATGGAAACCCACTCACATCTGGGAAAGACAGACAGTACTTTGTGGACCAGCTGATTTGTCATTCGTAGTGAGCAAAATTTGGTCACACAGGAAATGGAACTGCCACAGAATATGGTCCCTTCTCGTGTTGTACATACACTTCGGTGCATGTTTGGACGAGTGCAAACTCCTCTGCACGTTCGATCTGTCTGTTGTGCACGTGTGATTTGGAAACGTGGCGCTCACTGATGGGCATCAAACCTGTCCCCGCCTCCAGACTGCACTCCGGCGAGGCATGACGCGCATTCAATGTGAGTGCGGAATAGATGAGTCATTCTGTGTGCAGTACGACCTACTCCCTTCGCCCGCACACACACACACACACACAACTGCCCTGCCGTCGTAAATATCGTAACTATGTGGTTGTGGTAATTAGCAAACCGTACTGTGCTGTTCCTCGATATCTGCTTTCCGAGTTGGTAGTTTGATCATAAATTGCATAAATCGTATGCGTCTCCGGTTCGATCTTATTCACCTCAACTGAGTCGAATCATTCGACCACCCATTAGTCAGTGAAATGTCGGCTTATTCTGAGCATTGGAGGTATGGGGATATTTCACTTGACTATCCATCGTTGATTTAACAAACAAGCCATCATTACTGTTTCTATGGTCTCCATATTCACCGTACGGGGCACACATAATAATGCTTGTTTGATCTGAACGGTTTCGATCTGGTGAATGCACACGTTACACTACCTATATGTCTAAACAGCGTGATCATTTATCTGTTCCACTCAGTTTACCACAAATGATGCGAAGTGGTGAATCGCGGCGGAACCTAGCCCCACTGATCCCCGGAAAATAGAGGAACACAAAGCAAAGGCTAGTTGTAGAAACGATCCCAATCCCTAACTAAGTGAGATTTATCATGCGAAATCTAGGTACGAATCGGTAACGCAGCCCGAAAGTGTACTAAGGAGTCACAGTGGAACCGTCCAAGGCGTATCCCTTTTATTATACACTTTTGTCTGATGACCAGCAGACGGGGAAAGCCCCATAATCACGAGGACCTATTGTTCAGTGATAGAAATCGATAACCTAAGCCCCGGAACTTGAATTGGCAATTGATGAAAATACTAATGCTTGCCTTGGCACGGGGATTTAATGACACCGTCCAATGGAGGACCCGGATTAAACAATTTAGGACAGTGGAGCGCTTGTGAGCACTGCGTGACGCCCGGAAAAAGAATCTACCGTGGATTAAAACCTGTTCCGCTCTGGTCTCAGATCTTTGTGCGTGGTTGGCCATGATCAAAGAAAATTATGAGGCCGAATCATTTCATCGAATTTACGCAAGCCGAAAACGAAACCATACAATGCCCTTATAGTTCTTGAGTCAAAATTCTATTTTGGCTAAACACTTGCCACAAATCTTGGCATCTACTGGAGGCCGTTGGACCTTCCGATATGCCAGTGACTCCATCTTTTCAATGCCGAAATTTCTTCTATGCAATTCCATTGGAATGGGTATGCTAGGTCGAGGAATACTGACCAGCTGGTGACGATCAAACCATGCCATGTATTTATTCTTGGTGCAAGTACAACTGACATTGTCTTCACAATGTCGTACCACTCTTCCTTTCATACACAGCTTTCTAGGCAGTGTATAGGCTCCTCACTTGCGACAACAGGAACTGGAAAGATAAAATTTTGTCCCCGTTTGATTGGTTTTCTATGCGACTGGAATAAACTATCCGTTTTTGGAAACACCACTCAGTCTATGGAGAATGTCTTTGATCTATTGGGCTACAGCACCGTTCGTTTTACTGTGGTTAAACAGCTGTTATAGCTTGTACAGCGGAAAGACAATGAGTGAAGGAAGCACTTGGATTTTGCTCACGTGTGGTGATCCAAGCCTACGAGATGACGCCTACCCTGGAGCGATGCGTTACAGGTTTTGGACACCCGGGATCAATCAAATTTCAAAGTTGACGTCAATGACGCGCGTACGTGTCACTGCTTCTGACTACACACCATAGGCAGATCGTGCCAGCCAATCCGAGACAGTGCAGTCCAGACAGAGGCAGAATAATGCAAGCAATACTGGGATGCAATTGGTGGAAGCCTGGATAACCAATGAGCGTCTTTTATACACGTTATTTATTCTCCCTCATTTCTTCCAATAAACGAACTACCATTCCTGTGGCCTCCTCCTCGAGTCTCAGTTATGTGGAATATTGCGTGCTAGTGCCAGTGCCTACATGATCCAGTTCGTGATAGCTGATCCTTGATTTGTCTTCTGTGATTCGTATTCGTATTCCTACAATCGTTACATCACGACAAAAGGCAACTTTAATGGAACACGTTCTATTTTTATTACTCACCTAAATGTGATGAACAACACGGAGTAAATTACATAACCGCGTTGATCTTTTTCGCAGTCGTTTAAGCTGGTGACTTTAGAACCGGGACTTGGAGTGGCAACCCTTATCAGGCCCCGATAGTTTAGGCCTGGTATTGAACCGGACGTCAGCAAGACTGTCTATCACCAAAGTTGGGTAACGGGACTCGAACTCCGGCCATAGGGTCCAAAGCAGGCCGGGGACAACGACTAAACCACCGCGCCATCATCACCACGGTGGCGTGCATGTGATTACAACATAACCAACGTGATAATCCAGAATAACCTGGTATACATGACATCACTAACAGTGGCAATCTGTTCCTATCATGATGCACAATCCTTCAATGCCCCGATTGCTTCAAACCACAACTATTTTCTTCCATGATTTCGCGAGTGTTGTGGCCTACAAGTGACTGGTCCGTTTGTTGCGCTTGCTTGTGCTCGGGTTGATTTGTTGTTGTTGTTTGAATGCCGACTTGACAGCATACGGATGTTGTGTGTGACGTGTGAACCTCTGTTGACCTTCCTACGTGTTGCCCCTTTCTGCTTGCTCACCGACCTATGGACCGACTGCTACATGTGTGCCTTCTACCATAAACGTACTGCATGATTGGCTGCATGCTTAATTACCTGCTTAAACGGAACACAACAGCGGGCCCGCCCCTCAGCAGCTTTCCATAAACTGGAACAGTACATGTACCGTCAGTCGATGCTCCTATCACGAACACTGAATCGACGATGAAAAAATAGCCCAACCATTAAACTTTCGTTATACAAACGTTTCAAGTCATGGAGTACCTGTTGGAATTATCCACTCCATCGAACATATGTTTTAGAGCATGGCAACCGTTAGGTTGGACAGAGAGTAGCGGTGCCAATAGTCCATAGTTTGATTTGACGCTCGGTGGCTCATTGACACTCAGAGTCACTGGAATCCGGACCACTCATGGTTAAATATGAAAGTAAGATCATGTAACACGGACGAATGAACATGAACTCGGACGGTCTGAATGACAGATCCGCCAAACTTTGAACCAAGCTCTAGTGTCAACCACGTCGACTGGGCTAGCATCAGAACATCTCACTGCTATCTGCGTGGCAGTCAATGCACACACGCGCGCGCACGGGTTGGAGGGAGACTGGATGCGTTTCCGCGTTGTGTACTCTAATTGGGTTCAAGCTAAGCAGAAATCTACGTTAATGATCTGCAAATTTTAGATGATGGTTTTGTCCCTGAGAATTCGACTTGAGTCGTTTGAGGATCTGACCATCCAGCGTACAAGAATTTCTGTTGCACCGGTGAATATGTATGTCGCTGAAACAAAGCATACGTCGAGTGAGCCAAACGGATCCAACTGAAACATTGGTGGTAGTGAAAACGGCAGTGGTGTCAAAGTAAATACCGAACTTCTTTGTGAATGAATCATGAATGGAGTTAGTAGCGATTTCTCCATTCTGCTATCCTTTGTCGTTATCTATTATATATATTTCACATTTGTCTGAGGACAGACTGTGTGCCAGGCAAATCATGGTACAATCATCTTCATAAAAAAAGAAAAAAAGTCCATGATTGGCTTATGGGCTGAATACTGTCAGGTTGCCCAGGTCAAGGTAGGTGAATTTTCTTGAGGAATTCACAACCGGAACCTCCGGCTAGCCAAAACCTGACCCGCAAGGCAACAGGGCGGTGTGTGAGAACCACAATCCATTGGGAGCCGGTGTCCAGTTCATCAGATGATACGCCCTTTGAACGGGGTCAAACTTCCAATACACCTCGATGCCCAATCGAGCCGGTAACCACTTCCACAATCGGGAAGGTGTGGGTGTGGTTCGTACGTCTCCTCATGGTTGCTTTGGGATCAGGGTTTTTGGTCAACTCTCCTAGGTGAACTACCAGTGGTCCACCAACCCGGCTATAGCCCCGGATGTCCGTTTTTGTCCTCTCACTTTGGTGGGGAAACACCTCCGCCACGAGAAGGCATTGAGTAGGGCTTCCTCAGCAGAGGCTATTTGAAATGCTTGGTCGCATAGGAGCTTTTCGCG